TCACTGACTGCGCTGTTTTCTGTGCAGGCGGTCCAGCTAAAACCCACAAAGTCATCAAGAAGACTCCTTTGGCGTCCAGAGCTGATGGTGATGGCGCTCCTGATCAGAAGGTTAATTTCACAGCAGGTAGTGATGTCACCGATCCACGCATCACATTGCTAATTTCCTCCTGTCTGCCTCTCCTTCCACAGAAGGATCTCGGAGACTCTTTCTCCTCTTCCTCGCTGAAATCGCAATCAGGAGACAAATCGGCTTCGTCTGGAAAACCTTCCTCCCTGGATGCTTCGCCGCCCTCCAGCTCTTCCTCGTCTCTACGTCCTGCGGTAAGTGAGGTGAACGAAACACAGACATCACAGATACAGTCAGGATGGCGTGTTTGTTTCAGTCAGACCAATCGGTGACCTCCGTCCATCTCTCTGTCCGCAGGTTGAAGCATTCATCAAGCAGTTACCCAGAATCCTCCCTCGCAGCTCCATCCCAGACAAGACGCTCACCGTCCGCTCCTCTCCACCCTCACTGGCTCCCAAAGACGCTTCTGGTGTAGGGGAGGTGTCTGGACATGGAGGCCCCACCGCCACCGCCGCCACGAGTGGTGGCGGGGTGAAGGTGATCGCGATGGCAACGCTGCCGCAGCAGCAGGGCGGCCCCATTCCTGTGATGATTCTGCCTCAGAGCTGTCTGTCCTACGAAAGGGAGAAGGTCGCCCCGCCCCCTCAGCAGCATGCCCCCTCAGCCCCCACCTCTGTGGTCCAGAAGGTTCGAGGTGGAGCAGCCAAGCGTCCCCTGGAGGTGGTGGTGTCCAGTGGCAGCGCCATCGGTAGTAGCACTCCCACCAACACGACGCCCGTGAAACGGAAACGAGGACGACCGAGAAAACCTCGCCCCGAGGACTCCCTGCCAGCCCCGCCCACTACTCTTGCTCCTCCACCCCTACCACCTGCGCCACCCCCTCCTCCTTCCATCATCAGCTCTGTGACGGGTGGCGTCATCCAGAAAGCCTCGTCTTCGTCGGCCTCCTCGCAGCCCGTGCTGGAGCTGGTGATCCAGGAGCCGCCCGGCATGGTTCTGGGAGCGCTGCCGGCGGTGGAGCACCGTGGCGTGGTGGTGCAGTGCCCTCCGGAGGTGGACCGCCACAGCAAGCCGCTGCTGCTGCTGCAGAGCCCGGGAAACCAGGGCTGGGAGTTGGCGCCGTCAGGGCGCACCCAGATGGTGGAAGTCATCCAGAAAGCTCCACGACCGAGCAACAACAACAGCGCCACCACGCCGCCCACCGCACACCTGCCGCCTGCCCTCCCACTGCCCACGCTGCACGAGGAGCAAGGCGAGGTGGAGATCACGCTGACGCCGGTGCAGCCGCACGTCAGCCTGCCGCCACCACCTCCTCCCTCCACCTCCTCTGCTGGCTCCGCCTCTCCCGCCACAGTGATGAAGAATGTGGAAGAGGACGCCGAGGGCAGCACATCCTCACAGAGGGAGGGGCACTAACCCTGTTACCTCACTCGCTACAAAGCCTCGCCGTCTGACGTCTTCTCATTGGTGGAGATCCCAGATCGTCACAGCCAGTCAGGGGCACACATGAACACTCACATCTCGCGGCCGCACTTCCTCCGAACATTTGTTGGTCTGCTGCTTCGCTTCACCTTAAACGTGCAGAGGAGGAGGCGGGGTTTGGTACTTACGGGTCAGAGCCTTGTAAAGGTTCTGTGTGTTAAACCTGAGAAACCACCTCCTAATGCGCTCAGCCTCTGCTCCCCTGTAGGCCTCCAGGAGGCGCTGTTGGGGGAGCACAGGCTCCGCCCCCCTGTTCTGAACAGCCTTGTGTTTTTATCGTGTTGGTTTGTGATTTTTTTAAATGTGCTTGAGAGAAAAACAAGTTCCCCCCAAAAAGAAGCCGTTTGATCCAAACGTTTGAATGCGACTTTATTTATTCGTTCAGCTTGTTTGATTACATTTAAATTATTAATCGTCCGTCACCGACTCTAAAAGTGCTCGTCAGGGCCAGACGACTCACAGCAAACCTGCTTCCATCTGTTCTCTGTCAATTAGCACGTTTGTTTAACTAGAAAGTGCTTTTTGTGAACTGTGAAACCTTCACCACCTGCCGACTTCAGCAGGTTATTCATGGTGAAGATGCCCCTCCTCCGGCAGCCACGTGGTTGTTTTCATGCTAACGACGTGGCTGTAGACCCCCCTGCTGCAGAGCGCAGCAGCGGCACGATATCTGGCCCTTACGGATCGAACGGTTGGTTTGAAGCTTGAGCTCAGGCACAAGGAGCAAAGCACAAGTCGCCCTCCACCAACGCTCACGTGCAGTACGACGAATTTACCCACTTAGAGCCCGTAGGACGCCACGCACCCTTTGCACTAACCAGCTCCCTGCGAGCGCCACCGCAGCTCTGTCCTGATCAGCAGTGTGACACGACCACGTCGAGACGCTGATGTTGATAATAAATAAAATAACCCAAAACAAAGGTTTCGGCCACAGGAAGTGCCCTAAACTTGTAGCAGGAAGTGGTTCCTGCTCTTCTTCTGTGGTTCCTTCAGGAGGACTCTGGAAGTGTCACATTGCTGAGTGTTGTTCTTCACTTCTGTCAGACGGCGTCTCGCTCCCCGCGGGCGTCGTCTTCATCATTGGTGCTACAAACCCGCAAGGCTCGGCACTGCCGCCGTCCTCGCCATCTTCATCCTGTGATCTCAGACTTGTAAAAACCCTGTTTGTCAGTACTCGCGTCTGGAGGTGTGAATGTGGCGTGTTCACGTGTGTGTCCTCACTTCCCTCTGTCCTCTGAGAGCTGTGGGTCAGTTAACGGGACGTCGAAAATCCTGACTGTTAATTCACACGTGTTGCATGATGGGAAGGTGCACACGGCAGCACTGCACTAAGCGCCAGCATGTAAATATGACTGCATGGTGTAAACTCGGCCGACTGGCACGTCTCGGCGTCCTGTTAACTGCCGCGGCCCCGACTGACTCCTGCACTGTGTACAGAGTCCGTGTGTGTTACCAGTTTGTTGTTATTCAGAGACTACGTCACAGCTATTTATGACTAACGTCTGTGGTTGCACCTGACGAGAGGCCGACCGCACTACGGCCGCTTCAGTTTAAGTGTTGATCAGTATAAAGAGGAAAATACGAGTGAGAGCTGAAGTAATCGCACAGAGTCGTTACATCTCACGGTTTGTAGAAGTCTCTCTAAAGGCCTCAGTTTACTTCAGACGAAGTTTGTACGATAAACTGCGTCTGACGGCCGCCACAGGCGAGTCACCTGACCTGGACTGTGGTTACAGCAGTCCTTCCAGTCGCATCACGTTTGTCAGAGAGAACTGATGCTGAGTTACTCCGGGAGCGTCTGACTCTGGAGGGTTTTCTGACGAAACGTTGGACCTCTCGGGACCTGTTTATGCTGATCTGGGACCTCAATGGGGATTTTATCAGGACTGAGAAGGCTTGCTGGTCCTGAACTGGTCCCTGTTGCTTTAAGGCTTCCTTTGAGGTGGACTGAGGCCGAGATGCTTCCAGAAAGAAAAACAAAAAACCCTCTGTGGGCAAAGTTGCTGCTGAGTTGACCCACGAGTCGCTCTGCTGCCAGTCACCGTTGACTCTGTCCTCATCACTTTATTGCAGACCTGATGTTAAATGTTGCTTTTGGGAATCAAAAAGTTCTGACTGAAACCCAAAGAGATTGTTCCCTGTGCAGGAGCTGCTGGGTTAACTGGGCAAACTGGGAAACCTGACAAAGATGCAAAAAGAGCTGAAGTTGGGACTAACAGCGCGAGTAACTGAGCAGAGCTGACGTGTGATTCAGAACGCGAGTCTAAGAGTCGGTTTCCAAAGGCGTTCAGATAAACGGTGATTGTGAGAGAGCCAATCAGGGGGAGAGAAAGTCGAGGGGTAAAGAGGCGGACCTGAGCTGCTTCACACCTGCTCTCCAAACGACCAGGTGTGAAGCAGCACGACGAAGCCACGAACCCCAGAAGCTTTGGTTCCTCTGAATAAGTGGACCTGCTTCATCTTTGATGATCCCTGAAGGGCTGACACCCAGAAGAACTGCAGGGTGGCCCAGTTAAAAGCAGCTATGGCCCAGTTTGGCCCAGTCTGCACTGGGAGCCCGGGTTTGCAGCTGTCTGTGGGGGGTGTTCACTGTGGAGCCGCAGTGCTCTAAACTAAACCAGAAACGGGTCAGATAATCAAAGATTAAACGATCGGGATCCGGGTAGCAGGGCGTCAACTCCGAGGGGCCAGACTGACGGCGCCTTCTGATGTCACTTCCTGTCTTGTTTGTATGTGCTGTACATGTGTAGAGCGAGGCACAGCCCTCTGAGATGTGAACAGCTGATTATCACTGACCCTCGCCGGGTCAGAGACCTTCACTGACAAAACGTGACGAGATGACGAGGCACTGTTGGGAGCGACCCTGGCGTGGGGGCCGGGTTTTTGTCTGTAGCTGTGACCAGCGGCGTTGGCGTTTCCTGTTGTTTTCCTGCCTCGTGCTTTGTCGGTTGTTGAGCTTGTTGATGTGCAGATTTTCTTCTTCCTGGTGTTGCCGTGAGAAACGCCATCAGTTTTCTGCATGTGTTCCCGTGGCTGCTGGTCTCTCTTTTGGATGTTTGTTTCTCCGTAACTCCGCCCCCTCTCCTTTCTGTTGCTTTTTTGTTTTGCACTTTACTTCGGGAGCGGTGGAGGATGAACCTGCTGCTCAGCAGGCGGTGTGACGCAGCTTCGCCTGTGTTTGTTGTGACGAGAAAGTGAAGCGTGATGAGGACAGAAGCCAGAACTTTAATGTGAATCTATTTTCCTACGTGACGCAATAAAGACGTGACGTTAACTTACTCTCCGGTCTCCGCCTTTCATTTCAGCAGGTATTCAATCACTTCCTGATGACTAATCGGATCTTTGGAAAATGCCCTCAGCATTCCCGAGGGTCCCTCGCTGCTCACGGGATCTGAGGGTCAAAGAGGGGGTCACAAAAACTGAATCCTCTGGGACAAACCTTGATACGCTGAATGATCAGCTGATTGTTTCTAGTTTGAGTCTGAAATCAGATTTTTTTTTGTTAAAATTTTATAATTTAGTCTAAAACAGACCTGAAGTATTTAAAATGGGTTTAAAAGATGATTTCTTTAAATGTGTTCTTTCTCTTCTCACTTGTTTCATGTTATTTGTAAAGTTGCTGATCAAAAACAATCAGTGAAAACACAAAAGAAGAGCTTGATTTCTGCCTATGTGACAATCGCAGACATAAGAATCAAAAAGCCTTAATTGCCATTGTTCACAGTGAAGTTGTGGGTGGTCCACTCCAACTGTGCAGGAATGAAATATAAATAGTAAGACAGTCGGGAGGGGCTCAGAGTTGAGCTGCGTAGGTGGTGAGAGGTTATTGTTGCACATTGTTCAGTGGTTTGTGTTTCAGTCTGACTGTGAGGGGAGAGAAGTTATTGAAAAGATTGTTCTGTGAGGGATGATGACGGCTTTACTTACACTGCCAGCCAAACGTTTGGACACATCTTGTTTTTATTACTTTCTACATTGTAGATACAAACTGAAGAAGTTAAATATATGACACAAGGATACGTGGAATTATGTAACAAAGAAACAGATGATAACTCCAGATATGTTGTATTTTAGACTCCTGTAAGTATCCTTTGCTTTGTTGACACACTGAACCCTCGGCCTTCTCTCAGTGAGCTTCATGATGATCACCTGAGAGGGTTTCACTTCACAGGTGTGCCTGTCAGGGTTTGTATGTGGAATTTCTTGGTTGGTGCACAGCTGACAGCCCTATTTGACAACAGTTAGACTTAGAACCAATCAACTAAGAGAAACAACAGTCCATCATTACTTTAAGAACTGAAGGTCAGTCAGTCCGTAACAATGCTAAAAATGCTCTGTATTTGTGTAGCGCTTTACTCGTCCCTAAGGACCCCAAAGCTCTTTACACACCCTGTCATCCACCCATCCACACACACATCCACACACTGGTGATGGCAGCTACATTGTAGCCACACCCACCCTGGGGCGCACTGACAGAGGCGAGGCTGCCGGACACTGGCGCCACCGGGCCCTCTGACCACCACCA